ACAAAACGTGGGAATCAGTACTTGTTGAAAGTAATGGACGTGTCCACTAAATTTCCAGAGGCTGTACCATTATGCAGTATCACATCTAAACGGATTGTAGATGAGTTATTGAAATTTTTCGTGAAATACGGACTACACACACAGATATAATCAGATAAAGTGTCGAGTTTTATATCAACGTTATTCATGGAGGTTATGGATAGCTTAGGAATAAAACAATTCAAATCTACTACGCACTAATCAGAACCGCAGGGAGCGTCAGAACAGGGGCGTCAAACTTTAAAGACCATGCTGAGGGCTTTTGTCAAGGAGTGGAATAAAGGACCTCGATTTATACTTATCAAAATTAGGGATGCACCAAATGAAGCTACCAAATTCAGTCTGTTTTTATTCGTTTTGTTAAGTTTTGTGAAAAGATTAAATAGAGCGGGTGAGCTCGCTGGACAATGTTTAAACATAGAACATCATGTGATGAAACAGGAAGCAGACAAGAAGTTACAATTTCAAAAGAGATAAAGCGTTAGTGTAACTTGCAGTTGTACCCGAACATTTAAAAGTAAGGTTTTGTGGACCTTATTAAATCGAAAGGAGATTGAGTGAGGCGAATTATTTGATAAGAACAACAGGCAGAAAGAAATCTAACAGAGTATCTCATGTGAATATTCTCAGAGGGTATTCTGATAGGGAAGGAAAGCAAAAGGAGAATGCATTACCGGTTACAACACAGAGTGAGGAACCAAGTTCAGAGGATTCTGAAATAGACATTCCCAAAATTAAATTGGACAATGAGGAAGTTCTCAGGAATTGGTAAAATAAATGTTGAGTTACCTCCCAAAAGAAAAGCGAAATGACCTGAAAGAGTAATTACTTTCGCATGGGGAGATATGTGGAATAAACTTGGAAGTACTAATCTAATTACGCATGATGTAGAATAGGAAATGCTGTTCCAATTAAGCAAAGGTCTTATCAATGTAAATCTCTAAAGTTAGCACAAAAAGGGATTGAACACATGCTCAAAGACAAGATAGTCGAAGTGAGTTGCAGCGACTGAAGCTCACCCGCAGTAATGGTGCCATTCCTAAATTGAACTTACTCAGAGGGTACTGGCAGGCAGGTACAATTATCCGAACAAGCAAAGTGTATTTCGGCTTTTGTTACACTGAATGGACTGTACCAATTTAAATTCAGGACATTTGACATGAAAAATGCGCTAGCCACATTTCAAAGAATAACCAATAAAGTCATCTTCTGCATTATTCAACTGTGTGGTGGACATCGACGACCTGGTGATTTTTAGTCACACATGGAAGGAACATTTACAGCATGTACCGGAATTGTTCAATTGACTATGATCGGAGATTTGGTGATGAACCTGGCTAAGAGTGAGATTGAAAAAGTCAAAGGCACATTCCTGGCTATGTTATTGGAGATGGACAAATGGCCCCATGGGATGTTGAAACAAAGGTTATTGGTGAGTTGCCCAATACTATCAACAAAGAGACCAGTACTATGGTTTATAGAGATTGATTGGATATTATCAGAAATTCGTGCTGAATTTTAGCAGTGTGTTACACAGATGACTTATTGAAGAAGAGCAGAAAATTTCAGAGGGCGGCGGCCTGTCAGAAGGCGTTTGACAGTCTGAAAACTGTGTTAACGCTGCCCCAGTGTTAGCCACAACTAATTTTGCAAAGCCATTCAAAGTGGCTATTGATGCAAGTGATGTGTGTGTCGTTGCTCTACTCGGACAAAAAAAGATGACAAGAAGATAGAAATGCCTATGTGGTATTTTTTTCCAGAAAATTAAATAATCATCAATGGAAATATTCCTCAATTGAAAAGGAAACCTTGAGCTTATTGTTGTCGCTGCAACATTTCAACATTTACATTGACAGTAATGTATCTGAGACATGTGTATCTCTTGATCATAACCAATTAAAGTTTTTGGTGGAATTTAAGGACAAAAAATCCAGACTGTTTATGTGGAGCTTGTTATTGCAGCCATTCAATTTGAAAATTATACACGTAGCAGGACGAGAAAATATAATTGCTGATGCATTGTCATGACTTAGATGAAGAAAGACGGAGACGTTCATTGGTGGGAATAAACGGACTGAATTAGACGGCAGTATTGAGTCTTTGCATGCTTGGAGACAACGCATTGCATATGTATTGTTGTGTACGAATAGAGGAAGACTGAAGATTTTAAAAATGAAGTCATCTTTGTACATGATTGTTCTTTTTTAAGAAGGGGGTGTGACAATGCTTAGGCTTTAAGAAGTTATTTAGTTCTGCTTTACTTTGAGAGGTTGTAAGGCAGAGGCACAGAGGAGTCTACCAAGACCACTTGAATAAACAGTTTGGGAGGCTTTGGGATTGTTTTTAAACTGCATCAATGGGTGTGGTCAGCTGTCATAGATCAGGATTTATTGGTTTTGGTTTTTCAGTAACATCAGAAGCTATTGGGGCCTCAACAGAGTTAGAAACTTCGGTAAATGTGTCCTGGCTTCTACTCTGTTTGAATTTTCTCTGGATGTTTTTTCTTCCTGTATGCATGAGAAAATCTGTGCCTGAATGTTTCTGTTTGCAAAGGGCTGTGTTTATAGGATGCTACTATACTAGAAAAGTTAGTAATATTTGCTGTATCCAGTATTTGGCTAAGATTTTCAGTAGCGTTAAGTTAATCTAAATTCTTCCTTCTTTTCTTTGCATTTTAACTGTAGCCACTAAATAAATTACATTTTTGCTTGATGTTGAGTAGTTTGACGGGTAGCATCACATTTGGAACACAGCAATTCACATTTGCCTTTAAAATAAGAAAATGTTAGGGTCTAGTCTACCTTCTTAAAATATTTCGAGGGTCTCTTGGGTGGTCCATAACACATTTGTACTGTGTTCCTCAGTGTCATAACAAACTCTCTCAGTTCCCCTAGTAATGTACTGCAGTCCCACAGTTATTCTGTTCGACTAGCAACAGCTTGCTGCTTTCCCCCAAGACTGCTCCCCTAGCAATGGACTGGTGCCTCACACACAGACTCCCTAACAATGGCCTGTGGCCCCCCAACCACTATGATCCCTAGAAACGGCCTGTGGACCTGTCCCCACTCTGTTCCCCGAACAATTGCGTGTGAATTTATTCTGCATTCTTTTCGTCTACCAATTGCCAGTGGTTATGAACCCACTTCGAATACTTAACAACACCCACTTGTCCCACACTCATTCTTTTCCCTTAGTAATATCCTGTGGTCCACACCCACATTGTTCTGCTAGAAATGTGGTATTGCCTCACCCTCATGCATTCCCCTAGCAACAGCCAGTGGTCCCACACACACTCTGTTCCCTTAGCAACGGTCTGCGTCTCCACCATCACTACGATCCCCTGGCAAGGGCCTGTGAGACCATCCACACTCTGTTCCTTCGTAACAGACAGTGGCCCCGAACCAACCTGCTGCCTTGGCAATGTCCTTTGTACCGCACAACTCTGTTCCTCTGTAATCGACCAGTGGTCTCACTCGCTTACTTTTCTTTTAGCAATGGTCAGTGTTCCAACAACGATTCAGATTCCCCGAGCTTCTAAACTTTATCCCAAATTTTCGCTCGCAACAGTATGTTCTTCCCCCCCGACTCTGTTCCCCTAGCAACTGGTTACTGCACCACGACCACTCTTTTCATTTAACAACAGGTTTAGCTGTACCCACATTCTGTTCTCCCACAGCGGTCTGTGGCCTCACCAATTGTTGTGTTCGGCCTAGAAATGGTCTGTGGTCCTGCACCTACTACGTTTTCAGCTGTGGTCTCATCCCCACCCTGTTCCCCTCGCAACTGGATGTGTTCACATCCCCCACTCTGTTCCCCTAATAACATCTAGGAATCCTACACCCACTCTCTTCCCCCAGACAGAGCTTGCTGCACTACTCCTACACTATTCCCCGAGCAATGGACTATAGTCCCATGCACACACTGTTCCTCTAGCAATATTTTTCCACTTCCTCACCTTTCCCTCAGTAATGGCCGGTGGTCCAACAGGGTCTCTATTCCCGAACAATATTCTGATGTTCGAACCTATTCTGTTGCCTTAACAATTGCCTGAGCCCCCCACTTCCACTTTATTTCCATAGCAATGGCTTGTGAACTTACCCACTCTCTGTTCTGTATCAACAGACAATGGTCTTTCAACCTAGCAAGACACTGCTACACCACTCTCTTCCACTTAGAGCAGGCTTTGACTCCACTCACACTCTATTCCCTAACAACGGCCTGTAGAAGCAAACCCCCGCTCTTCTGCCACAGCAACGGGCTTGGCCCCACTCCACAGTGTTGCCCTAGCAGCAGAAGGTAAGCGAAGATAAGCGGAAAAGAGGCATGGAGAATGTGACAGGACTGGAAGAGAGGGAGATTGGAAGGTAGGGAGAGTGCAAGGGAGACAGAGTGAAAGAGAAGAAGGGAGAGACAGTAAAAAAGTGAGAAAATGGGAGGGAGATTGTAGGAGAAATGAAATAGTGGAACATTGTGAGGGTGGGAGGGAGACATAGAGAGAGAGGGAACAAGGGATAGAGATTAATTCCGCTGAGTCCAGATCCAGAGGTGAAAACAAGGACAGAGTAATTTAAAACCAACTCCTGAGCCTGGTCCCATTCCCCTGTCCTTCCCTAAGGACCAGAACTTAGGGCCAAGTCTGTGTCTCTCTTGGTCAGCTTCTGCAGCACAAAGACTAAACGATTAGAAAGCTCTGCTAATCGGTACTTTTAAAAGAACATTTTTATTATTTACAAATTGAAGTTACAGGTTCAGTCAGTGGAATGGTGTCGCTTCTCACTGGCCCTTGACTTTAGAGAAACAATGAAATGTCCCCCTGTAACCCCCTGCAAAAACCAGCACCACCCTCAATCTGTTAACAAAGCGACAGACTGCTTCATTGCTGAACATTTGTCTTGAAATGATTAAACGTCTGGTTAGATTGATTAATGACTGAACTTGATTGATTGATGAATTTGGGTAAAGGGATATTTCAGCACATTCTTGAGCTGCTGTCTGAACTTAGCCTGGGTCACCGCATAAATCGCAGTGTTTGTACAGCAACTGAGCAACTGCAGCATGAAACCTAATTCCCGCACAAAAGTACCTAGAGACACAGAGTTATACCCCAAATACCGCATCCGGTTCCATACAGAATACACCATTATCGTTGACCATAACAGGATGAAATTGGCCGAGATCATAAACAGTAAAATAATAGACTTTTTTCGATTCTGCATTTCTGTGTCACACTGAAAGTCCTTATTGGTGTGAGCTCGGAGTCCCCTGCGGGCTCTGCTGGTCACTAAAATGTGTCTGACTGTGAAAACATTGAGGAGCAGAATCAGGAGAAATGGGAGAGCCGGGGTTAGCATGTAATGGATGAACTCCATTGTGACCCAGACAATAGAGTAACGAACAGCGATTGTTACATAACAATAACAGGGGTGGTCCCCCAGCCGATAGCGAGCTGTGAGCATAAAATACCAGAAAATGTTCTTTGAACAGCTCAGCACAGTCACTGTTCCCAGAAGCACAGCCGCCGTTTTCTCACTGCAATATTTACTTTTCAGCTTCTGGCAACAAATGGCCACAAATCGATCAAAGGTGAAAGAGACGGTAAACCAGACAGAACAATCAGTGGCTGTATAAAGCAGGACGGCGTGGATATTACACACGGGAATGGGATACAAGAAATAAAATTTTTCATAATAAACAATGGGAATGTGTCTCAATATCAGGTCGAGTATAATGACCAGTAGATCCGCCACGGCCATGGCCACCAGATATCGACTGACACATCGAGACAATCCACAATCTTTACAAAGCAGGACAAAGATCGTCACTACGTTGGCTGTGAGGAAGGTAAACAAACAAATTTTAAAAAGAGTCTGGAGATAAAGTTGCTAGTTTGATTGAAGACAGAGCGAGAATTTCAAATGCGTCACCGTATTCAGATTTGTTGATGTAATTGGAACTGAAATAACAAATGGGAAGTTCTGAATTAATTCCAAAAATATGACGTAACACAGAAGAATCACTCCCTCCCCAAACACACATCCATAAGCACAGATGGCTTCTAGAATATTCGGACACACTCGATCACTCGAGAGCAGACACAGGTCACTCTTTTACAGTTCCTAATACAGAGGGTGAAAATGTCGCCGTCCTGAAGGATTCTCTCCCATTTCCTTGAAGACAAGTGGAGATTGGAAATTTCTGTCGTTTAGTCTATGTTGTAGTCGATCCTCTGTAATGAAGAAATGTAAAGGCAGGGAAAACGTTATTCACCTTTTTAACTACCCGATGGGACTTCAAAACAGTATCTCCTTCTCTCTGGAACAGGATCCCTTCCCTCGGGATATTTTCTTTTGTTCAATTAACTGTCGCCCGGCCATTCAAAAAAAATTTCAGTTATAGAATGTTACAGAGAAATGTCCATTATAAAACGTTCCGGAGACTGTCAGTTATAGAATGCTCTAGAGAATGTCGGTTGTGAAAAGTTCAGATGAATTTCAGTTACAGAATGCTCCAGAGAATGAGGACTATGGAATGTTGCAGTCAATGTCTGTTATAGAACGTTTTGGAGTATGTCCGTTATGGAATGTTCCAGAGAATGCCACTTCTAGAATTTTCTGAATGATGTCACTTGTGAAATGTTCCAGATAATGTTCCAGACAATTCCCAAGTTCAGAAAAAGTCCATTTCCCCCCTTTGTGTGACACACGAAGATGGGCAGAGCCTTTGTTTTCAAACATATGGACGTACAATTCAGGAGCCATATGAGGCCTTCCAGCCCTTCAAACCTGCTACACCATTTAATAACGTTTTGGCTGATCTGATGGCGTCCTAGTCCATTTTACAAGAACTTTCTGTCATTCAACCTCCTGGGTTCCTGTTACTGACCGGACGACATTTGGGCACTTTTTAAATCGGTTTTCTTCAAGCATGTGTTCGGGAACAATTTCCAGAATGATGGACTCTCCAAATAATATATTCAAACAGATTTACAGGTATCAAGATTAATTTATAGCTCGGAGATTTGGCTATTTCATTTTCTCAAATTATTGTATTTAACTAGTGAGAACATCTACACCCTTGTCTCATCACAAAATAAAATAAAACATGTGGCCCTGTGAAGGTAATAGCAGGAATTAGGAACAAAATTAAAGAATATAACCTCAAGTGTTACACTCTGGATTATTACACGATCCACGTGTAAATTGGCACAGAAAGACGAACATTTGGGAAGTGTTACTGAAGTTGTGGTGCAAGAAAGAGGGGTTCCATTCCATGGGGCACTGGCATCAAAATTGGGACAGTAAGGATCTGAACTATTAGGACAGGCTTCAGATGAACCAATCAGCGAACAGGGTCTGAGTGGAAAGGTTACATTGTGTGGACATACGGATTGAAACTATTTGAGTGGGAAAAACTCAGGAGAGATTTTTAAAGTTTTCAAAACAAGTAATGGGGCAGACAGCCTATGGAGCAGGTCAGTAATCTAACGTTAGGGAAGGCAGATAAGGAACAAGTATGAGAAGGAAGACAATTAATGCTGCACCGAGGGTGTTGTACTTAAACGCACGTAGTACACGAAATAAGGCAAATGAACTTGCAGCTCAGATTGAATTTGGCGTGTACAATGTTAGGGTATCACATAGACGTGGTTGCAAGGGGATTAGAGCTGGGAAATAAATTTCCAAGGACAAATGTCCTATTGAAAGGACAGGCAGATGAGCAGAGTGGCCATAGATACCTTGTTAGTGAGAGATAAAATTAAATCAATAGCAAGAAGTGATATATGGTCTTAAAACATAGAATCTGTATGGGCAGAGTTGAGGAACCGAAAAAGGAAATAAAAGTCCCTGTGGGAGTTATGCACAGGTCCCCAGCAATAGTCAAATGTGAGGCAGAAAATAAATCAGCAGATAATCGGCAATTTAAGAAAGCGTCAATTACAATAATCAGGAGGACTTCAATGTTTAGGTGGACTGAGAAAATCAGGTCGGGAATGGATCCAAAAAAATGGGAATTTGTGGAATGTGAAAGAGATTTTTTTGGACCAGCCTGTGGTAGAGCTCGACAGGAAATAGGCAATTCTGGGTTTGATGATGTATAATGAGGCAGATTTATTTCGGGAGTTGAAGGTAAAGGACCCCCTGAGGGACAGTGACCACAACATAATCGAAGTCACCCTCCATTATGAGAGGGAAAACTTGGAATCAGATCTAATCGTAGTGTTGACTAAAAGTAGTGACAATGACATGACGGAGGATATGCCAGAGATGAACGGAAGGAGAGACGACCATCGAAGGAGGTGGAGTAGCAATGGCTAAAGTTTCTGTGGGTAAGTCGGGAGGCAGAGCAGCAGCTCATCCCAAGAAATAAAGCAGGCACTAAGTGGAGAGACAGGGGAGTAGGAAAATGGCTAATATAAAACCCCTGCTTTAAGTCGAGAGGGAGACAGAAGTAGTCCATTCAGCTCATCGAGTCAGCTCCGCCATTCATGACTAACCTGATAACCCGCAAGTAATCCCTTTTCCCCTTGATTCTCTTACTGATTAAACCTCTGCTAATTTCAGCCTTGAATGTACTAATGACCCAGCATCAGCAGCCCTCTGTGGTGTAGAATTCCACAGAATTGCAAAAGGTTAATGTTGTGATTGTATTGAGGTCAGTCAGGTGTACATCAGAATATGAGTTCCCTGATTGGGGCTGTTAATCTCGGCCAATCAGGGAGCCCTGGTGCAAAAATATAAACAGGGGTGTCAGAGGTTCTGTCTGCTCTGACAGCTGACTCGAAAGGAGCTGCATCAGTGTCAGGCACTCTCCATGTGTAAATGACAGTTGTCTTGGTCAAAGGACACCAGCCTCTGTGGAGTTATTTCAGTGAAGTTATCACAGTCCAGCTGAACCACAGGGCCGTTCTCTCATTGGCGATAGATAACTGGTAGTGGCATAAACTGAGAGTCACCATGCCTTTGGCAAAGTAAGAGGTTGAGATGTAGAGTCTTTCTTGGCAATCTCAGCCAATAAGAGAATTGCCATCCCTCTGCATTAAAAACCATCCATCCAGCTAACTGAGCTAACCAAACCCCCAAACAGGTTTACCACCCTCGGAGAGGGAAAAAAAAGAACCCCCACCCCCCCCCCCCCCCCCCCCGCCTTCTTTGTTTTAAATGTAAGGCTCCTTATTCTGAGATTCTGCTATCTTCTCCCAAACTCCCACAAGGTGAAAAGACTCTCCACAATTACCTTGTAAATTCCCTAACAATCGTAAATATTTTAATAGGGTCATAGGCAGACAGTTTGCTAGGCATCACTTGTGATGCTGGAAAGCAATGCAATCATGGCCAATTTGTCCGGGTCTGTTTCCCAAGGGATGCTTCTTCTTATCAATAAAACAGGGCAATTTATCAGTTTTCTTCTTGGAAACAAGACGCCAAAATACAGCAAAGTGGCAGCAATACTGGCCCATGTGTCTATCACAGGATAAAGGAAATGTATTGACAAAGTCCTGAAGTGAAACAATGATGTCAAATAAAAAAAAAGAAATGCTTTCTGCACTCGTCTTTGCTCCCGCACAGCCACCCCCTCCCCGCAATCCCCATTCCAGGCTGGATATAACTTGCTCTGAGCTCAAGTCCTGAAGTAAGTACTTCCCTTCCCAGGGCATATGACACAGACTGTTACAGCATAGAAAGTGTCTATTCATCCTATCGTTTTTCTATTGACTCTTTTAATAAGCAATTTACCTAATGCCACTCCCAATAATCCCGCACGTTCTTTCTTTTCAGGCAGTAATCTGTGCTTGCTCGAATGAATCTACTTCCATTGCATTCTTCAGTAGAACATTCCCTAACCTCTTATTATGTGTCTTGCTATTTCTTCCTTATTAATGGACTCAAGTATTTTCCCAACAATGGATATCAAGCTAACTCTTGTATAGTTTCCTGCTTCATGTCTCCCTCTTTTCTTGAGGTGGTCCATCACTTTGGCGGTTTGCCAATCATCTGCAATCCTCCTTGAATGCAGAAAACTCTGGAATATTTCAACTAAGGCCTCTACTATCTCTGCAATCACATTACTAAAAGTCCATGGATACAGTCCATAAAGTCCTAGGGAACTGTCCTGTCTTCCGTCCCATTACCTTTTTTTCAAAACGTTGTCCTGTTCAATAAATAGACTGTTAAAAGATGTTTCCTCCATTAATACTTTGCTTAAACGTCTTTGGAATATTTATATTGTCATGTACCGCGACGACCAAATAATTAACTGTCATTTTCATTTTCCCATTATCAATTCCCCAGTCCCATCCACTCAGGTTCTCACACATACTTGAGCTACTCCCTCTCTCTTTACATACACAGATTAACTTTGCCAGTTTGTTTTTACATTTCTTTCTACTTTACGTACATAATAAATTTTCTTCCTCATGATTGGCTTTTCAGTATACCGTTGCCAGTTCCTAAAAAAAAATCCAATCCTCTGACCTAACACTAGTTTTCATCGATGTTGATGCCTTGGTGTTTGTTTTGATCTTTTCATTGACCGCCTTCATTAACCACAGGTGGATCATCTCCTCGCTGAGTCCTTCATTTTGAGCGAAATGAACATTTTCTAAACATCGTGAACTATTGGCTTAAATACCTGTCATCGTTCGTACAATGATCTTCCTCTTAGTCGATATTTACCTCCTGCGTCAATCAACAGGTCATTCAAAGACCTTGAGCCGCTGGTTCTGTAGAATGTTTCAAGGGCGTACCTCGTCACG